AAAGTACAGTCCAGATTCAAGAGGTAAGGAAAAAGACACCACTTATTAAAGGGAAGAGACACAAGCATGATCACAGGATAATGGGGTGGAGAACTGGAGCCATTTTTGGCAATTCACCTATACAAGGTCTAATTCAGAGCCTGGAAACTGAAGCCAGCTATTCACTGAAACAACCCAAACCCTGCTGCTACTTCTCTTTGATGTTACTTATTTCACATCTCCAAATATCCTGTTCTCTAGCACTACCAGTGGGACCTTAATTGGGAGATTTCTATACCTCACAATCTTTGAACCTCATTTCTATGTATTTCACTTTAGTCATTATTTAAAACAAAATTATTGAGTTCTATGCTAAGGGTTAGGATGAAAAAGTAAGCATGGCACAGTCCCTTTCTTCAATGAACTCTCAGATTAATGGAAGACACACAGAGAGAAATAATTATACTTAGAAAATAATATAGGTTGTAATGACAAAAATATTTAGAAGGGAATTACGGGATCTCAGAATGACCCTTAAATAGTCTGGGAGAAGCAGAGGGGGAGAGGTCAGATAAGATTTCCTGAAAAGATGATTGTAAACTGAGTCAGATTAGCTATGTAGATAAAGAAAGTACAGGGGGTATTCCAGCCAAGGCAGCAGACTAAACAAAGGCATAGCCATGAAAAGCAGTATTGGGAGAGGCCTCAGTGGGAAAGAAACTATAAGTAATTCAACATAGGAGTGTAAAGGAAAAGAGGAAATGGTGAGAGAGAAGACTTCAAGTTTATATTTTGGAAAGATTATTGGCAGCAGTGTAGAAGACGGAATGGAAGGAAGAGAAAGAGGCTGATAGAAGAAACACTAGAAGTTTAAGCTAGTCCTGTCTCATCAATTTCTATCATATATTAAAATCTACTTGCTTACTCTGTTTGTTGTTCATTTTTCTCTCTCTACTAAAAAGCAACTCCTCAGAGGCAAGGATTTTCGTCTCCTTTGTTCATTGGTGACCATCCTAAGCATGTTAAATATTGCCTAGCATGTAGTAGACACCTAGTGATAATATTCATTTAATAATAATGTTCATTCAATAAATATTTGCTAAATGAACAGATGAACCTTAACCAGAATTTCCCAGAAAACCAGCCATGAGGTAAAGCTAATCCACTAATATTTTACTGGGTCATTCAGTCCCAGAATATCAAGAATGCAGAAGAAAAGGAAGTGACACAGCAAAACCAAATGCAAGGAATGAATTACTGACCTGGCTATAGCTTTAAAGAAAATAAAGGTCAGTTTCTTATCATGAAGGACTTGTCCAGATAGTCTCCATAGAATCATTGTGCCTTGGAAGAGTCCTCCAGACAGAGGAAGGGAAAGAAATTTATCTGCCAATTTTCCATCTCTTGTATCTCATCGGTCAAAGCTCGTTCCAGAGTGTTGATCCTTGCCCAGTGCCTCCAGTCAGCTGTTGCAGAAGCTAGATCGTGGGCCCTTGGTTCAGTGCTTTATCTGAGTTTCGATGTAGTGTGAAGAGACAGAGCCTCCATGCATGTAGTGGGTGGTGCTTTAGTACAAGGGATGCAGGTGCTGCTATTGTGTAGCAGCAAGCAAGAGGGCAAGAGAGCACATGGAGTTCACCTGCAGATCCAGTGCAGAACAAATGAGTAAAAGAGCATCAGACATAAAGTAGAGGTGAACACAATAGTTTCTATTATCTCCTAACTCTGGTAAAGGTTTGCAGAGCAAACTGTAGTTTAAAACAAATAAACAAACAAACAAACAAACTTTGACCCTTATTTAACATACTTAGAGGGAGGATACAGCTTATTGGTAGAGCACATGCTTAGCATGCACAAGGTCCTGGGTTCAATCCCCAGTACCTCTAATGAAAAAAAAAATCTATTTAACATACTTAGCTCCATAGAGAATTCTCGCCCACACCCAAATGCTTAAACTCGTCCCCAAAATTCCACTTCAGAACCCACTGGAAGCCATCAGAACATGCTAGGACCTATTCTCTTCCACAATTACTCCCTTAAATTAGCCATCTTTCCCTGGTAGGATGGAAGTTCCAAAGCCTGAAATGTTTGATTTCACTTTCTTTCTCACAATCCTATATTGCAGAGGCATTTTAAAGAAATATTCTGTCATGCCACTCTTGTTATCTCTTTCTTGACTCCTAATAACCTTGAGTTTCCCAGTTTATAAATATCAAAAGCAATTTTAATTAAGTTCTTTGTGGAAAATAAGGATAGGCCCCAAAATAAATAAATAAATATAAATAGATATACCAATTCCCAGTATCTGGCAATAACTGTTCCATGAAAAATGTAAGACTCTGGAACTAAGTAAATACATGTGATCTTAATAATGCCTGCCATAACTTCAAGAACATACTCTGATACTAAAATAGCACTGTAGGAAAAGTGTTAGACCTTTTAAAACTTTAAAAATTCTGTAAAAGGGGAGTAATAACAGCACCTAATTTATAAGATTGCTGTAAGAATTAGATGAACTCGCAGACTATTGATTTTTCTGAAACACTCTTTTGATTTTTACTTGCTGCCCCTTACTGGCCTTTGTTACAAGATTCAAGTATAAAGAGAAAGGGGTCTGAGAAAAATAATATATCTGAATAAAACTCCTCTTTTATTCCTAGCATCACACCTCTCCTCATACCACAAAGCCTGTTACCAAGTCAGGCTTGTCAACCTTAGTTTCCAGGTGCATGGTGGACCTACTCTCTTTTCCGGACATATTCAGACCCCTTGGTGGACAAAGCTTGAGTCCAAGCTGGAACCTTTACCTAATACAAAAGTAGGACTTTGAAAATTTCTATGTCACTAATAAATTCTCTCCTTGTCCATCCCTGTATGGAACAATCACATATGTAAATGAGCTCTAATACTTTTGCCCAAATTTGTACCTGATTACAAAGGTAATATTTCATTGCCTTTATGTTGGCTGCAGAATATTTGCTTTTACTTTAAAGTCCTGGTAACAATTTCCAGACCACCCCAGGTTTGTTAATGATAAACACTCAGCAGCTACAGCTCCTCAGCATATAGACATCTTGTTTCCCTCTTATCATTCAAACTTACACATTAGAGAGATTATTTAATCATGACTTCATACATTACTTTAATAACATTTTAAATTGTATAGTTTAATGTCTTTTTTAACATTTTTAA